TTTTTGTTGTTCTTTTTCTAGTTTCTTTAGGTATAAAGTTAGATTGAGATTTTTCTTGTTTCTTGCTTATTGCTATAAACTTTTCTCTTAAAACTGCTTTTACTGTGTCCCATAGATTTTGAAAAGTCTTGTTTCAATTTTCATTTGTCTTAAGGTATTTTTTTATTTTTCTCTTTTTTTGTTGACCAGTTGGTTGCTTAGTAGCATATAATATTTAGTCTCCATGTGTTGTGGGGTTTTTTTCAGTTTTACTTTTGTAATTGATTTCTAGCTTCATACTGTTGTGCTTGGAAAAGATGTTTTATATGATTTAAGTCTTCTTAAATTTATTGAGACTTGTTTTGTGGCCTAATGTGATCCTATTGTGATCCTGGAGAATGTTTAATGTGTACTTGAAAAGAATGTGTATTCTGCAGTTTAGAGGTTAAATGTTCTGTGTATATCTAATAAGTCTATCTGGTTTGATCTGTCATTTAAGGACAGTGTTTCCTTATTGACTTTTTTGTCTTGCTAATCTGTCCATTAATGTAAGTGGGGTATTAAAGTCTCCCATTATTACTGTATTGTCAATTTCCATCTTTATGTCTGTTAATATTTGCTTTATGTATTTAGGTACTCCTCTGTTAGGAATGTAAATATTTGCAAATGTTCTATCCTCTTCTTGGATTGACCCTTTTATCATTATGTAATAATGCCTTTGTCTTCTCTTGCAGTCTTCGTTTTAAAAGTTTTGTCTGATGAGTATTGCTACTGTAGCTTTTTGTTTCCATTTGCATGGAATATCTTTTTCCATCTCTTCACACTTTCAGTCTGCATGTGTCTTTAGATCTGAAGTGAGTCTCTTATAGACAGCATATAGACGGATCTTGTTTTTTGTTTTGTTTTTTTTTTCCAAAGATTTTATTTATTTATTTGAGAGAGAGAGAATGAGAGGTAGAGAGCACGAGAGGGAAGAGGGTCAGAGGGAGAAGCAGACTCCCCGCCGAGCAGGGAGCCCGATGTGGGACTCGATCCCGGGACTCCAGGATCATGACCTGAGCCGAAGGCAGTCGCTTAACCAACTGAGCCACCCAGGTGCCCCGGATCTTGTTTTTTTATCCATTCAGCCACCCTGTGTGTTTTGATTGGAGCATTAAGGCCAATTAAAGTAACTGAAAATAATTATTGATACATACTTACTACCATTTTGTACATTGTTTTCTGGTTGTTTAGTTTTGTTTTTAATATTTTAATGTCTTAGTCATTTAGTTACTTGTATTTCTATTAAGATTGTTGTAGAATATTTTATACTTATGATGAATGGGAACTTTTTCATATGTATTTTTAAATTAGGTAGCAATCTGAACAAAATGAATTGACACTAATATAAGTGCTTTTTGACTCACTCGAGCATATTATGTACCTTAGGTTTTTATTAGCTACCATTTATTTAGTCCTGTGACTTTATGTTAAAGTTAGAAATACTAATATATTTGCTGTTACTGACAAGACCAACATTGTTCTAGAGACAGCAGACAAAACAATAAAACATGAGAAATAAATAAGGTATAAATACTGGAAAAAAAAATTAAACATTTTAAACAGTTAATATATTTGTCTATCTCGAAAATCCAAGACAAGTAACCAAAACCATACTGAACTAATGAGAAAGTTCTATAAAGCAGCAAGAAAGAATATTACTAAAATCCAGTAGCTTTCTATTAACAGTCATACTTAATTCTCTTCCATACTGTTGCCAGTACCCAAGTCTAAGCCTCACCATCTTTTAATCTTCTAATAGGACTCCTTGTATTCATCATTTGGCTCAACAATTCTTTCTCTACCCAGCAGGTAGAGGCATACTTCAAGTATATTTTGACTCCTACACTTAAAACCATTCCGTTGTCTCTCAACATTTAGATTTCTTCTTTACTGTCCCTAATGTCCTGTTCTTTTTCTTAGCCCCATCATAGTTTGCCAGTATACAATTTCATGTGTGTTTATTTAATGTCTGCCTCCAGAATATATGTTCTATGAGGTCAGGGAAAACGACTGTTTTGTCACTACCATATATACTATACTTAGTACTTAGTGTAGGCACTTAATAAATATTTGCTGAATTTATAGATTGATCAAATCTACTTTTTAAAAAATACGCTTGACTTTTTAGGACCGTTTTGAGAAGACAGTACAGAGTTGCCACATACCCCACACCTAGTTTTCCCTATTATTAATATCTTAGGTTAGCATGAAATATTTCTTAGAACTTATGAGTCAATATTGATTAATTAAAGTCCATATTTTATTCAGATTTTCTAAGTTTTTAAAAACTAATATTTTTCTATTCCAGGATCTCACCTAGGATCCCACATTACATTTAGTTGTCATGTCTCTTTAAGCTCCTCTTGGCTATGACTGTTTCTCCGATTTGCCTTGTTTTCAATGACTCTGATGATTTTGAGGAGTATTGACCAAGTGTTTTGTAGAATGCTTTTCTGTTAGAATTTGTCTTGTGTTTTCCTTATGGTTAGAATGGAGTTATGAAATTTTAGGAGGAAGACCACAGAGGTAAAGTGCTGTTTTCATCACATAATATTAAGGTCACATATATGAACGTGGTATTATTGTTGATGTTGACCTTAATCATCTGGCTTGAGGTAGTATTCAGTCAGGCTTCTCCACTGTGAAGTTACTCCTTTTTCCCCCTTCCCATAGTGTATTCTTTGAAAGGAAGTCACTGTGCACATTCTGTATTTAAGGACTGGGGAGTTGTGTTCTTCCTCCTTGAGGGCAGAGTATATCTACATAAATTATTCTGCATGGGAGATTTGTCTCTTTTCCCCTACTTACTCATTCACTTATGTATATCAGTATGGACTCCAGGATATGTATTACCCACTTTGGGCTATAATACAATTACTTCTTTATTAATTTTCTTTCTCAAATTGTTGCAGTTTTGGCCATTAGGAGCTCTTTCATTTAGCTCCTGTGTCTCTTTGACCTAGCCCATCAATGTGGGCTGCTTTTGCTTGTTGGCTTTTGCTTTGGGTTTTGTTTTTTTTTATACTTTGTTACTTTCTAGCACTCTAAGATCTCCAGTATCAGCTTGTGTATTTCATGCTCAGTCCTAGAATCAGCCATCTCTCCAGAAAGCCCTGGTTTCTTCTACTGGACAATGGTATTAGAAATCAAGATCTGGATGCTAGATATGCTTATTGCTACTGGGGTGAGCAGCTTTATTCATAATTGCCCAGACTTGAAAACAAGATATTCTTTAGTAGGTGAATGGATAAATAAACTGTGTTGCATATATACAATGAAATATTAGCAATAAACAGACATGAGCTATTGCGCTAAGAAAAGACATGGAAGAAACTTAAAATGCATCTTGGTAAGTGAAAGAAGCTGGTATGTGATTCCAGCTACATGACATTCTGGAACCTGAGCACGGTGGTGATGATGAAAAGATTGGCGGTTGCCAGAGGTTTGGGGGCGGGAGAGAAGGATAAATGGGTAGAATACAGGATTTTTAGGGCAGTGAAACTAATCTCTAGGATACTGTAATGGTGGATACATGCCCTTATGTATTTTGTTAAACCCACAGAATAAACAACACAAAGCATGAACCCTAATGTGTAAACTATGGACTAAAGTTGTATTGATACTGGCTCATCAGTTACAGCAAGTATCCTACTCTAGTGCAAGATGTTAATAATAGGGAAAATTGGGGAAGGGGTCTGAAGGGGGGTATATGGAAACTCTGTACTTTTCCAGTGTATTTTCCCATAAACCTAAAACTGCTAGAAAAACAAAAGTCTATAATGAAAACGACAAATAGCCCTCAGAGTATAAATATAAAGTTTAAAAGTATAAAGAAAACACACCAATTAACCATATTTATTTTAATATCTGTTGAGAAGTATAAAAGCTTCCTAGCAACACAAAATAATTTTTTAGCTTTAAGACATTAATGAAAACTGTACAAATATATATAACCATTACCATCAACATAAATAACTTCAGATTTTAAAATCTTTCAACAAGGTGAGCTGAATTTTCTATACAAAAATACCATATTACTATCATTTTATGGTGTCTTTGGATAATGTCCACAAGATACAAGATGTCCACCAATTACGTTAGCATTTGTTACAAAGTCAGAAAATACATAAAAATAGCAGTTGATAACATTATTATTCTTTGAAAAAGAATATATGGTACTAATGTCCAGTCCATAAAGTGGCAGGTTTAAATAGAGTAGTCCCAAGTTCAAAATGTCAAAATATTTTAAGTACCAGTTTAGAAATTAAAACAAAAGAAATTGTACTAAGTGAAATCACTGCTATAGCAACTGAATGCATTTGCTCTTCAGAGTAAATGTCAAGGTCAGAGCCAGGTCAGTGATCTGCAGCAGCAAGAGTTTGCTTTGGGGGACAAGCTGGCATGCCTCATTTTTGTGTCTAGTAGGAACATGGAAGCAAAGTATTCTGGAAGTCTGATGAACACATGTCACAGTTTCAAGATCTTTCTTAATGATGTGAAGATGAGAGAACCTTGACTTGGTTGATTTAGGAGTCTTCAGGCCATTGGGTTTGACAGTCACCATGAATTCACGGGAGTTATGTTGGTCAAAATCAAACAACAGACTCCACTAAAATTGGGTGACATAATATTGAGATCTTTATGTTAAATTTATTCCTAAGAAAGATATCCTGCTTAAGATGGAATTACCGTCGCTTCCATAATTTCAAAGTAGAAAAGCATATGACACATGAGCATCTTTTGCCATTGCCAAACTGGTAGGGTAGAGCCTTAGCCAAATAAGAACTGTAACTGACAGCCGACAGAAGTCTGCCTAATTGCTATAAAAAACAAACCTTTGAGGCCAACTGATGAAATGTTAAATTAATTTTGCAAATAACAGATGAAAACTTAAACACTCTTAAAACACTTTCTGAAGGCCTTTTTAAAAAAAGATTCTTATCATACTTAGTAACTTAATTTGTAGATCAAATACTTGATACTTTGGCAAATAATTTATTCAATACTTTGTAAAGTCCTACCCATATATCAGCACTGTGGGCAATTGATGCTAAGAAAATGCATTTCATTTCTAGAAAAGAAAATAGGGGATGGTTTTTGCTCTTCAGAGTACCTACTACTGCATATTTCTTCCAGAACTCAGTAGAAATAGACATCTGTAGACATTTTCCAGGGTCAGGGGACTTGCATGGATTCCATGGAGCAATGCTGTGGGGCTTCACATGAGACTCCTACCGGTGGCCGCCGTACTTGGCCACCCAGTCTGTCCTTCCATGCACCGAATGAACTGGCTGTGCACGGTTCATGATATTTAGATTCTTGGCTCTAGGTTTGTAAGTAGGTCCTGAAAACTGACCCCGACCAGGTTTTGTGTTCCAGGTATACTCTGGAAGAAATGAGAATTGGAAGTTAGAATTTTATTCATTTGATTATCATTTAAAATCAAGCAATTTATCTTATTTTATGGGGAAGTCTAGAGTTTATCTTTAAAAGATCAGTGGTTTCCAAGATTTTTTTTTAAATATTAAAACTAAAAATTCATGTTGATACAGAATTCTCAGTAGCTTAAGAGCCAATATTTCTGGTTTACAGTTCTGATACTGCTACTGTTTCTTTTTTGGACTCACTCAAATGCCTTTAACACATTTAGGTAGGCAACATCGACCAGGGTGACCAAGAAAATTCTTGGTTCAGGTTCAACAGGCAGTTCCCACAGTGTCAGTGACTGTAAAATCACACAGTGGTTACATCTGACTAATATTCAAGTGTAATACCCACTACAGAAAATTTATTTGTAATTATGAATCATATTAAAAGTCTTCGGCTTTATGGAGCTGCACGGATGGGATCCCATCATAGATTTCTTACATGAAAATGGGGTTTCTCGAGGCAGGAAACTTCATTATTTTAATTGGGAAAATGATGGGTGAAAACAATTCCTTTAAAAGGTGAGCCATTCCTAAGATCCCAAACTTTTCATCATAAGGTTTGTTTTATTCATACATTTGGCTGATTAAATATTTGTGAAATTTTAATTAAAAATTTTTGTTATCTGAACAATTTACAAGCCAAACTTGCTTAAACATCTCAAATGACAAAGCAGTAAATCATTTTACAGAGAACTTCAATCTCTTCTCCATTCCTTCCCTCACTCGCCCTCACTTCACATTTACAGCTGATTATCAGGTATTCTCTCTCAAGAGGGGTGTTTGATCTTTCCATTTGAGATTTAAGTATCCTTTCACACTGGTGGCTGTCACTCTTGGATTAAACTCTAAAGTTTCAATTTTGAAATGAGTCTAACCATTTTGTACACCTAGCACTATACTGTATTCACTTGTGTGGTTTCCCTGGGTTTTTTGTTGTTGTTGTTTTTTATATATATAATTTCTCTGTAAAACTGGGAGCGGAGGGGAAATTATAGGAGCAGTGTGGGTCCAGTGTGCTGCTGACCTCAGCTTAATGGGAACATAGCATTAAGTGAGGAACTGCCCTGGGGACAGTCACCCTGTCCTGTGCTTTCACTTTTACCAGGTTTACAATTCTCCAGGTTAAAGCCAATAAAAAGCTACCTAATGAGGCAGGGACAGAGTGTTCAGAAGAGCCAGTCAGCCCTTAACTGTTAAGGAAAAACTGGTTAAACCGCTAACCAAGTTTTCCAGGAATGGCCCTTTAGTTCTAACCCATGGGAGTGTAGAAAAGCACCAGCATGTTAAATTTGTGAACCCTCGGGGCGCCTGGGTGGCTCAGATGGTTAAGCGTCTGCCTTCGGCTCAGGTCATGATCCCAGGGTCCTGGGATCGAATCCCGCATCGGGCTCCTTGGGAGCCTGCTTCTCCCTCTGCTTCTCTCTCTCTCTCTCTGTCTCTCATGAATAAATAAATAAAATCTTAAAAAAAAAAAAAGTTAAAAAAAAAAAAAATTTGTGAACCCGCACCTGAGGTCTGCAGGCCAGAATGGTACCTGGTGTGGAGGAGAGCTCATGTGGGCGGGTGAGAGGGAGGGAGGTGGGAGAGGCCATAAGCCCTGGGGATGCAGAGAACCCCTTCAGCTAATAGGGTGAGGCCCTTGGGGTACAAAATGAGGGATTTGGGGAGTAATAGCTTTTCTCCAGGTCATGACATAGATCCGTCAAGTCCTAAATGCATTTGAGGGAAACCTTGTCCAGGCAAATACTTTTAAAACCTTCTTTGAAGAGGGAATCATTTTGCCAAGAAGGGTATAGTGCTGACATTTAGGATTCCTGTCTGAGAGAGAATAGTTTTCGGTTTCAAGCACCGTTGGTGAAGAACTTAGTAGCCGACAAAGGAGCTGAGATCTGTGGCAGGGCAAGAAATGCTTTTGTGTCCAAGCCAGACCAGGCCCCCGACTTCCTGACCATGGGGCGGATAGCCCTCTAAGATTTGCTGTGCATTTATTTTAAGAGCCACATGTGTCCTATCGGGGGCATTTAACTTCTTGTAGAAAATGTTTGCTAAAGGAAAGATGTTTGCCTTTGGTTAAGAATTTAATCAGTGCTACCACTGTGTCACTTTTAGCAAGAAATAAAACCTCTGTAAAACAGAGATGATAATAGTACCTTCTGTAGTCGAGCTCATGAATGTAGCGCACTGAGATCAGGGCCCTCCCTGCCCTTGTAAAGGGTGGCTATCTAGGAGAGAAGTCCCTCCTCAAAGTCCTTGTTACCATCAGAGCAAGGGGAGAAGGAGGTGTTAGGAAGTCTGGGATGAGAGATTACATGGGAAAGCTGGAAGACATAAATTTGATTTTTTTCTCAAAATGTAAGGGTAAGGACAAGGAGGGGCAGAGAGGGAGGCAGGCTACAAGAGAAGGGGAGATAGTTGAGTAAATGTGGTAGTGACCTGGTTTCATTTTCTTGTGGGAAACTGCCACACAAGTGGGAGTACTGGAAGACACATCTCTTACAGAACAGTGTTTTCCTAAGGATTTGCATTGACTTGAGAATGATTAATATTTACTTCTTTTTTTTTTACCTTTCCTCCTATCACCATCTGTTGGAAAATCTGACGAGCAGGGTAAATGAAGAGATGAAAAGTTATGAGAAAGCATTTACCAAAAAAATGTAAACAGGACTATGCATGCTAATCTGACAGAATACTTAATATGTAAAGGTCTTCAATATCTTACAAAAATAGTTTTAAAAATACCCACTTTAACTTTGTCAGAGCAGGTACTCAGATAACAAAATAATTTGAAACATTATGATTTTCCACTTTTATTTTAAAAATTGCTCCTGAGCCATGGCTGGTGACTTACTGTAAGGCTGGATTAAAATACCCAAGGCTTAAAAAAAAAAAAAATCATTGCTGTATATCAAGTGTTCACTTACATATTTTGTTTCAGCAGAGGAATAAGGAAGCAATTCTTTTCACAGATAAGGTAACTGAGTACTACTTACCAGTTCTACTCTGTGGTAAGAGATCGTAAATTATAGAAGTCCAGTGCTTTTTACAGTTTTAGCTCCAACAGTGCGAACTTTAAAAACTGGCAGCTCAGATCAGGAGTTTTAAGTTGGCCTCCTGGCTAGGACATGTTGCAAGATTACTTTTCGAATGAACTTTGATATTACACTACAGCTTTGTATCTTACCAAACTTCTATCTGCCTTAGCCTTTAATTTTAGGTGCTTTCATGAGGACCTCTACTTTAGATTAGAATAATTTCTAGAACGTTCATAGCCAGATCTAGTCAAGCTCAAGTACAGAATCATGACCCTGATTTTCAAGAGCACATCCCTGAACGTGGCTGTCATGCCACCAACCGCAGAGGAAGCACCCTGACTGGTCATCGCTGGAGGGCGGAGGAATCAGCCCTTCACACCTACTACTGTTGCAAAGCAAGTGCAGGGTGTTTGGAAGTCCCACCACCATTCAGTTCAATGCAAGGGAACTGCAGAGGGACTGCCTGTGAAATGGCACATGGACAGTGTTCAGCATTTATTAACCTTGCCCTCTGTGCTAGGTGGGAAGCTCTGAAGAATGCCATCTTCCATCTTGCTGGCTAGCACGGCATGGTCCTTGGAATTACACAGACACGGTTGCTCTCCCAGCCCCACCATTTACCAGCTGTGTGACCCTAACTAAACCACTTCATGTCCGTTTCCTCCTCCGTAGAAGGGCTACCTTATCCAGTCCTGTGAAGATTAAACGGCGTAACATGTGCCTGGCAGAGAGGAACCACTTAACTGGAGGTAGCTCTTACGACAGACCCTCAAACCATATCTTCAGAAGAAGAAAGGACATTTTGCCAAAAATGATTAGAACTGTGTTAATAAGGTGAGACTAATTTAAAAGTCTTCACTTGGGGAAAATGATGGTGTAAACTTAGAAAGAGCTCCTTTCCGATCAGAAATCTCAAAAACTATAGTTGTCCTTACCTGAGGTTGTTGCACCGAGCGGCGCGAAGTGTATCCTCTGGCCAGCTGACCCCACTTCTTTTTTGAGAAAGGAAGGAATATATCCTGACTGGTTGTAAGTAGCATAACTTCCAAGATTTCCTAGTGAGGTATCATAAAGTTGCATAGTCAGAAGGTGAATATTTTAAAGCACCACAGAGTAACAAATACTACACCCCTCCTAATTCTAGATTCTGTTTTTCGAGTATTGACTCTATTTCAAGTGCTGTATTATAGCTTTACGGATAATCCTGTTCAGGCCATATAACAACCCTTTTAGATGCCTGTTTTATCCACACCTTGTGGCTCTTAGAAACGGTAAGTGACCAAGCTAGAATGTGAACCTAAAGCTGTTTGCCCTGAACATACCAGGTTTTCTTTATGACTACCACTCTTAACCTAAGTGTGTTCCCTGCCAGGAAGCCCCCATCCCTGCAGGGCTCCCTGTGCTTTTCTTCATTCTGTAAAATCACTATAGTAACTGCACCTGTTCTCATGGGGTTGCTGTAGAGATTTAATGGAATGCATGCAAGTACTTAGCATAGACTCTGGTGTTCAGTAAATGTCAGCTCTCATCATCCTCTTCCTCATCACTGTTAGTGAATGATCAGCCTGGGGGCACTAGAGTGATGGGCTAAAGGGGGAAAATCTAAAGGTAGAAGACGGGAGGTCATTGCTAGAGCTGAAAAGAGAGTATGAGAGTCTGAACTAAGGGAGTCACGGAGGTAATGGAGAAGAGAACTGAGTGGGTGTATGGGGTAGGAGTGGTAGGGAAAGAGGAATATAAACTCCTCAGTTTATATCTTAGGTGACTAAGAACAGCAACTGGTTTGTTGGAAAGACATGGTACCTGTGGGATATTGGAGTTGTAGTGGTAGAGCCGGCCTGGAGATAGGGAATCAGCAAGGTATGGCGGTTATGGGGCTAGGGGCTTGGAGGAGCCAGCTCAGAGAGATGGTGGGGTGCGCAAAGATCCAGAACAGAGGCCCAGGGAACACCAGCATTCAGGGAAGGAAGAAAAGGACCCCATGGAGGAGAGGGAATAGAGAGGGTAGATGACAGGAGCAGGGTCTGAACATCCAGGAGAACACAGTGTGTGAAGAAAGAAGGAAAACCAAAGGAGGCAGAGATCTGATGGGATTAGCATGGCTGTGGGATCTAGCCACGAGATCCTGGCAGGACCTGGCAGGAGCGGTTTCTGTGGCCTGAGGCCAGCTGAGGACAGAGCACAGTGCATTGAGGAGCAAACTGGAAATAGGAAAAGGAATATAATTTCTTTCAAGGAGCCTCGCTGTGCAGGAAAGGAGACACGTTAGTCAGCAAGGAGTTGGAACAGGGCTCTGATCATGAGGGTGGTTTTGAAGAACTGCTTGTTTGGCAGCTATGACTGAAGCAGTTCTTACAGTGTTACTGGTTCACAAGTCTGGCCTCTGAACTTCTTGTCCCTGATGTCTGTCACAGCGCTGTGCACAGAAGGCTCCCAGTAAGTGTGTGCTCTTGAACCAACAAATGTCAAACAGCAGTGTCATCACAGAAGTGAGACTTTATACAGTGAACACATCAGTTGGTACAGTTTTTAACACTGTCGAATTCTGCATAAGCACAGCTGCCTAATTTGACCTTTCTTTTAGCTCCAAGTACCCATTTCTAAATCACTAATCAGCCCTTTACGTCAAAAGATTTTTGAAAGGAAGTTCATGCAGTGATCCCATTCAATGGCAGCGTCAGAACATTGCTCTAGCTCTCCTCCTCAGAGCAGACGCTACGTGCTTACTGTGACAGAAGTCCTAGGGATGATTATATAACAATACCTTGGTAAATACCATGTCCTCCGTTTTGTAGATGGGGAAACTTGACTTAGGGAGCCTAACCGACTTGTCCACAATCACAAGGTTACTGAGTGACAGAATGGGGAATGGAGAGATGTCAGATTCTAAAAGCCATGTGCTGAGCAGTTAATAGGCTGCAGGGAGAAAGTTGCTAAGGATAAATGCACAGAAAATGCATTATTTTGGCTTATTATTTTTGAAGTGCCTTGTGAGCTGTGAATTTTTAGGCTGGAACCAATAGTTAGTACTGTTTAAACCAGCAACAGTGAAACGCTAGGAAATCCATCATCTCTATTAACCTGGTTAAATTTTAAATGATTGTTAATACATAAGAAATGAGTTTCAGAACTTTAAAAACGGTTTTCCAGGAATACTGATTACAAAATTAGAAAATATTCTTTTAATTCTTATTCTCAGTAGATTTGCTTCATTTATATAAATTGTCAATACTGACTTAAGAAGACGAGCCTAGAGCTTTTTGAGAGCAAGTTTGTCTTAGAATCCCAACTACTGAAGAAAGGTGTTCTTGATGTCGTGGAATGCTTCTCTATCTCCCAGCCCTGGTCCGACTTCTAAAAGCAGGTGACCTTGGTTGGCCTTCATAGTGGCCTTGTATGACAGGATTGAGGGCAAATGTGGAAAAGAAAATTGGACAAGATATTCAAAGAACAAGTTGTACTCATCTAGAATGCCCAGAAATTACCTTGTGGGTCCTCTAATTTTTCAGGAAAACTTTCATTGCATGATAGTTTTTCAATTGGTTTAATTATGCTTTCCTCTGAAGAGAAGGCAAGTGGAAAGAAAGAATGAATAAGAAGAATGTTTTAGGAAAAGCAGAGAAACAATGGTTAGATGATTCATGAAAAAATCAGTAAGAACCCTTAACATGAGAAACTGTTCTCACGTGTGGTCACAGCTTTCATTTGATGCCAGCCAATTATATATTCCCCCGAGATGCAAAGTTGTAGTGTGATCATTTAAACTCATTTGTATTTAACCAGCTGGTTCAGTGAATATTATTTTAAAATAGTGGAAAAAAATAAGTAAATTACAGTGCTGCAATGTTTGATACCTCAGCACTATTAAATAGATAAATCGAATCCTCAGAGCATCTGGAAAACTTAAAATGTCCAGAGTGTGTTAGTGTCACATCAGAATACCCCAGTAGACTACTCAGTTGCTACATCTGTGATCTCAGATTTTTTTGTGGACCAATACCATCTATATCTATCTATCTATCTATCTATCTATCTATCTATCTATCTATATTTTTAAAAGAACTCTTCTTCACACACTTTAAACTGATATGTAAAATTTTTCATTGTAAGTTTTATACTTTGTAAAGTTGTCATTTGTGATATATTGTAATTATAGACATTTAAAAGTAAAACTATTACATCTCTGCTTTAACTATAAGCAGTGGAATCTAAATACCATGGTGGTTTTATGCCTACCGATACTGACTTACAAAATACATGAATATATTCCTTTTTAACAGTTGGAAATTTCACATTAATATCATTTCTCTCTAAAATTTTATTTTCATTCGTGTCTACTCCCAAATTTTATCCAAATATAATTTTAGGCTTAAAAGTCTTTAAGTTGACCACTGAAAAGTATGTATAAGTTGAAACCTTTAAAAAAATTTCTTATAACCATAAGTATGTTAAAATACGTTTTTTCTAGATTAGGTTAGTTATAATTACAACAATTCATTGTATATAATTAAAACAGATGAGTACTATAAATTTTGATTACTGAACATTAAAAGGCATTGTTTTTTGGAGAAATTCATCTCACTGAGAAAGATGGCACCTTTTCAAGCTGCCCATGTATCCACAAATGAGTACTGCTTATTGCTAAAATCAGATTTCAGCACCAATTCTATTTCTTTTTCTCTTGTTCCTTTTTGGAGCTGGAAGCCCTGAGAAACCTTGGTTAACAAAAGGTATTCTGTTACAGCTTTGTCACAACAATCTTTGAACTGTGTTCAGAGTTCTAGACCAAAAATCATACAGTGATTTTGAAAATGAGTTTTCATTATCTGTCAGCTAATACTTCAATTAGGCTCTCCTTCAATTTTTTGAAGGCTAAGAACTGGAAACCACGTGACTTAAACAGGCTCTGTTCCCCATTATCAGAGTTACTCACTTTCTTGACATTGATCCCAACATATGAAACTGTCTTTTTGGCACCCCAGAGAATTTTATATTTTGGGGAAACAGGAAACACACCCAATAAACAGAATTTGTCTTTTCTTTTGTAAAGTAGGAGAACAAAGACCAATTGCTCGGGGGGGAGATGCATTTATTAGGACAGAATCCATACGGAAGTTGAGATCTGGCAAATTGATTGCCTTAAAATTATCTGTGCTCAAGTACCAGTTAGAAAACTTTTGTGTACCCCCAAAGTTATCTCAGTTGGAAGAAGGCAGCTGCAATGTAGTTTAAAAATCTGCAGAAGGAAAACAATGTAAATTTATACTTTAAATGTATTTTTGCTTTACCTGCGTTACTCCTTTTGAAAGCAAGTTCTGCCCCCATGGGTCCCAATGACTTAGGAAATAACTGATTACTCCATGTATATGGGTTTATATCCTTTCCACTGGCTACCAAGGACACATTCTTGGGATTTACACCTTAGAAGAGCAAAACAGTCATTTCAGAGGTTAGCGTGTGGTCATTAACTTGAAGGAAAAATATATAATACATTCAAATGAGGATCAGAAATAACATGGAGGAGGAGAATGGAAATAAATTTATGTTGCAGTGTAGCAGATAATTGCTTTCACCTGGAATACTTCCAGTAACCTGGAATCCTCACAGTGTATTTTATAAACATAAGTTGTTTCTATCATACAAGTAATAATAGTTAAACACTGGGCATTTCTTGCTAAATGTCTTGTAAAAATGGAGGTGGTACCCAAATTTTCTTCAAAAAGTTATTTCCTTGTCATTTACTTGTTTTCAGTATGAACTCTGGGGCAGACCCTGGAGGAACACTTAGTGTGGCCAGGAAAACAGACGTGTGACCAAGAACTCAGGGGAACTGAGAGTTTGGAAGTAGATGCCCTATGTCAAGATCTATCTGTGAAGCTTATTTGTATATAAGACAGGAAAATCTAAACAAAGTATGATTTTCTGAAATCTGTGATACATGGAGTCCACTTTGAACTTTGGTACTAGTGGTCAAAAGGTGGTGTTTTAACTTATTTTTAAAGAGATTTGAAAACTTCCTGAACTTGCTTTCTTTTAACTGACAATAAATTGGATGCAACATACGGGACAGTAAAGACATCACACAGCCGAAGCCTCTGCGTTGTACATGGAGTGCTTTCTTAAGCTAATACAAGGAAAATCCTCACTGAGGACTACCATTAATGTAGGAAGTTAGTAATTCTTTCCAGGTGGGATGAGCTCTTGCTTTTCACAAAGTGAACTCCTTAGCAAAGTTTCCCATTTATGAGACATATAATAATATCCCTTGTTTTGAAGCCAGACAAAAGCCAGGTTGTTCTGTACCTCAAGGTTACTGGTCACCAGTTCTCTAGTGAAACACTCCTCCAGGTAAATAATTTGCCTTTCTTATGCCATATAGCTCCTTATGGATTTTGGTTTCTGATAAAACATTTACAAATTGAACTATAGTAGGCAATTTACCTGACAATAAAGAAGATGCACTTACTAAAGAATAACTCATATGAAAAAATCTTCACCAAAAAAAAAAAAAAATCCCTTACCCCCAAAAGAAAGGGCAAGGTAGGGGGACAAACTAAAAATCACCTTAAATGAACTGTTTTCATAAGTGTAGTTCAACAAAGAATGGGCTCTCGAGTACCTAAATTATTTTGTTAATACAGTTAGCCTTGTGATGTCCCTAAACAGTTTTTTTAAAGTAAATATTTCTTTAATTCTGTCTTTTTAAAGATTCCAGATTTCTTGGAAATAGACACAATCTAGACTGTTAAGTCATTTACATGTTAGTTTACAAGTGTTTACTGGGCACCTTCTATATAGCAAACACTGTGATAGATAGAGGTAGAAATGACTATACCATCATCCCTTGCCTCAGAGGAGATTAAATCAGTTAGCAAATATTTACTGAGCACCTATCACGTGCCAGGTAGTGTGGGTGGCATTGGACAAAAAAGTGGTGACCACAGCAGACTAGTTTCTACTCTTTTGGCTCTTATAATCTACTCTAATGGGAAGGGAGACATTAAAAGTTATAAATAGGTAATGAGTGCTGTGTAAACTCTTTTAAAGAATCTGGTGCTGAGGGGCAGGCAAATAACAGAGGCAAGTTTTTTTTTTTTTTAAAGTTCCACCACTCTTTCTTTAAAAAAATAGTAATTTTAAGCTGAACTGTGAATCCGATTAGGGGTCGGGAGGGGGTGGAAGGTGTGTTCCTGGAAGAGGCCACATGTAGGCCAGGGCCCCGGGATAGGGCTGCCCCGGGAGACAGTCCACGGACAGAGAAAGAACAGGGACTGGCACAAAAGGAGGCTGGAGAGGGGAGTAGGGGTCCAATCACGTAGGGATGTGTGTGTCCTGTGAAGAAATTTAAAACACAGTAGGAGGGGCGCCTGGGTGGCTCAGTCGTTAAGTGTCTGCCTTCAGCTCAGGTCATGATCCCAGGGTCCTGGGATCGAGCCCCGCATCGGGCTCCCTGCTCCACGGGAAGCCTGCTTCTCTCTCGCCCACTCCCCCTGCTTGTGTTCCCTCTCTCCCTGTCTCTCTCTCTGTCAAATAAATAAAATCTTAAAAAACAAAACAGAAAAAAAAGAAAACATGGTAGGAAAGGCAAGTGTAGAAATGACATGGGGCATTGAGGACACAGGGTGGGGGAAGGAAGGACAGAAGTGATTAAAGGGGACTCGAGAAGGAGCAGGGTTTCAAAAGTGCTGTGGAGGGAGCCGCTCTCCGTGCGTTCTGGGGTTGGGGTGCCGGGAGCAGGGTGTGAGACCAGAGGGCACCTCCGAGAGATGCTTTGTGCTTGCATCGCACGCTGTACTTGCAACTACCTTGCAATACTTAAGTACCTAAGGCTTACAGGGTGCGCCGGGAGAGGACTGCAGTCCCATTGTAAGTAACAGAAAACAGAATCTCAAAGTCTTGCTCCGGTATACAGCTGGTCAGTAGCAGATCAATAACTATGACTCTTGTGTCTCTCTGCCTGAAGGCCAGTGTCACAGATCTGCCAATTCTTGTAGTATAATGTCATGCTGCCCTGAAAGTGTATGGTACATTTCTAGAGCTCCCATGATCCTAAAGGTTGATGTTTAATAAGACCTTCTATGCTTGGATTTATGGTAAAAAAAAAAAAAAAAAAAAAAAAAAGAGGGCCCCCAAAGATACTATTCTCTTTTTTTTCTTCCTAAAGATACTCAATTATAAAAATAACTTTGGGTCACAAACGTCAAGGATCACTTCTTACTATGGTTTCTACTCTCTGTAGTTGCTGGCTCATGATAGGTGCTCAATAAATATTTGTCCAGGTGACTGAACTGAGCTCAATTCTAGTTTCAAATCTCATCCAGCTCTAGAGGGGCATCCTCAAGACAAAAAATGCCAACAGGGGAACAGTAAGGCTCAAGTTTAGATTTCATGCAGTTCTAATTTCAAGTCTGTTTATTAAGTTTCAATTATAGCCATGCTTCTGACCCAGAGTAATTTGCAGAATCTGTTAGATCTCTCTTAAAAGGGAAATGACCACATCAGTCTCAGATACCCTAAAATATGTCCCCGAAAACCACATTGGGGAGCAGAAATATGAAAACAGGGTACCTTGGATCCATTTAGCCTAACAAAAATTTACAGTTGCCTCTCCCACCACCAGAGGGCTCCCTTGTACAGATTAAAAAATATCAATTTGCTGCCTTTTTTTTTTTTTTTAACAGGGAAAAGTATCCCCCATGAATCTGTGTTCTGGGAACTTTGCTACATCCCTGCTTTTGCAGTCAGATCAGAACTCCCTCATAGTATGAACACAAATATTTACAAACCTACAGGTATCTAGATCGAGATTACAAGGGAAGTGTCTTTGCTGCTTTCCTCAAAAGTGCCCCCATCTCTTACCGTTTTAATTCCAACTCTCCTCACCTTCCTAAGGACTTCAGTCCCTCAGGCATCCCCCTCCCCTCTTGCATGACTAATCCCTCCCTCTGTAAGCGATCATTCCTGTCCACATGTGGATGAGCTCCAAAGACCCAGAATTCCCACCACTGACGTGCTCCCTGAGCCAGCTCCAGTATGGCTCTGTTTCTGAGCTCCTCTTCACAGCACGTCTCCTAAGAGTAGTCTGCCTGTTCAGTCGCTAACTTTTCAACCCACTCCAGCCTAGTTCGCCCTCACCATTCCAGACTGAAACTGAACTCCCAGGGTCATCAGGGACTTCTCCACTGACAAATTTTATCAGGCATTTCTCTCCCTTCTTATAACTGCTCAGCAGTAAACTCTTTCAGGTAAACTCTCCCTTCTTGGCCTCTGGAAACCACCTGTGCCTGGTCTCCCCCTCATCTGCCTGGCTCCTTCCTTTCCTCTTTCTCAGCTTCTCCTCATCTACCGCTACCATGGTTCCCACTCACAATCTCTCTGGAGGTGATCATATTCAATCCATGGACTTAAATACTGTCTGGGAGTCGCTGAGGACTCCTACATCTGCTCTCCTTGGCCCTGGTTCCTCCTCAGCGTTCCTGGCTCTTCCCTCCTTCCGCCCGCGTGGCCTCTCCACACTGACATGTTTCACAAGCATCTCAAATACAACAGCCCACGCACAGGACTGCCACCTCTTTCCCACCCAATCCTGTTCCTCCTCAGTCTTCCTCATCTCAGAGCACGGCACCACCATCCAGCTCGGATTCAAGCTCCAAACTCGCTTTTCCCTTATCTTCTACCAAAATATATCAGCAGGTCCACTTCCAAAATCTCTCAAGAGCCCAGCTCCCTCTAGGTCATCATCTTTCCCCTGGAGGACTCCAGTCGCTTCCAGCTGGCCTCCCTGCGTCTAGCCTTGCCCTGCTGCAATCCATCCTTTACACAGAGTCTTTTTCACGCATGTGTCATGTGTCACTTACCTCCTGAGTTTCCTTCAAAGGCCTCCGTCAGACCTGGAAAGAACCCCAGATTCCTTCCCCTGCCCTCAAGGTGCTGCCTCATCTGAACCCTGCGGGCTTTCCCCCCTCCTCCCCTCTCGTTTCTCTCCCCTAAACCCTTTAAGCTCCAAATCTGCAGCCTGTTGATCTACTTCTCAAGCCAGTGTCGTTCCCTCCGCCTAAAACCTCTTCTCTCAGCTCTCCACTTGACTGCCTCCTCCTCATCCTTCTGGTATCAGGTCAGAGGTGAGGGCTTCGGGGAGTGCCCCCGCCCCCCAGCATCCACACTCCAGGTCGTCCCTCTGCTTCCACAACACTCATCACCACCTGTGAATTTGCCTTTTCTCTCTCCACTAGAACGGAAGCTCCTGGAGAGCAGGGACCTTGTGTGTCTTGTTCAGTGCTACATAGGTATCTCAATACCTAGATCATTAAGCACCTGGCACGTATTAAGTGCTTAAATGTATTACTGAGTGAATGAATAAAACAAAGGAATCAACAGCCTCCACAAATGAATGTGTATGCTGTCCACGGGGCCCACAATGTCTTGCCCTTCCATCTGCACGGAGACATGCTGCTCATCCACTAAGGACCAGCTGGGTCTCCTCCTCTATAAAGGCTAAAACAAAACAAACACTGAATCCACAGATCTCCAAATATTCAGGGTTATAGTTTTAGCTCCTTCCTGGATAACTTCATGCCAATCTCGTCAGTCTACCTTGGATAGGACAGTATCTTCCTTCTTACTACTCAGCAGAGAAGTGCAGTCCAAAAGCCTGGCTTTGTTCTCCCTTCTCCCTGTTATTTCAACTTCTTCAACATGTGTGGCTAAACCTGTACAGCCGCTGTGCTTCCTGTTTTCTCTCCTGTTCATTTCTAAAGCCCTTCAGTAATTTCATTTTTTCCTTTCAATTATTGACAGTAGGAGTGGGTCTCTACTGGATTACCTAGAACTGAAATTTAAATGGTTGCCTAAAAGGTATACAGAAAAATGCTGTGCAGCAATCTCTTGCTAACAATCCAGTTCCAACCTTGCCTCTTGTTTTCCTTATTCCTCCTTCCCACACAAGCTCCTGGGAGATAAAAACCACGGCCTGCTTCTGGATACTTCCTCATGTGAACCCAGGGGCCTGTTTACTGTGTTCAGAAAGCTGTAAACGGCCACCATGCCCACAAAAGAAAAACTTCATCTCTCCCTCTTTTTGGACTAATCATATATCTGTGTAGATACACAGTCACTTAAAAATTGATTTCCTTTTAGACCCCATTGAATTTAAACTTTTTAAAGTGGATTTTGAGGAGAAAATGCTGCCTACAGGCACAACATAAACTCCCTACCATCAGTCGTCTTAGATGGATCAACTCAGATGTTTGCTAGGCATCCCAACCTCACCTCCCGTTTCTCCACTTCCACACCTCCTGCTCTCTCCTAATCTTCCCTTTCTCAGCTAAAATTACCACCATCCCCCCCAGTCGTCCCAAGTCAAAAACCCAGAAGCCAACACTAATTCCTCTGTTCTTTACCATCATCCGTGCTGATCTGTCAGCAAGTCCTATCTTCCCACTATTGAAATACACTGAGATTTTACCCATTTCTATCTCCACGTTCGCCACTCTGGATGGAGCAAGCCATTACCCTCTCTATCCAGACATAGGCAGTGGGCTCTCGACCAGCCTCCGTGCCCCTTTTGAGCGCCTGGTATGCTCTACCCACCATGATCTTTCAAAACCATAATCCAGATCATTTAGGACACAGTGTAAAATCTCACGCTTTATGAAACGGTGTAATGGGGGTGCAGAATTATTTTAACAAAATTTCGTACTTACTTACAGGCATAGCTTTGGTGGGCGAGAGTGGTATTTTTTGGAAGCCTATTCTGATCTTGATTTTTGACAAGGCATTTCTTGAGCAGACTTCACAGAAGCAGGAGATTCAGAAAAGTCCTTGGGAACAAGTACTGACCAGGCTGAGCCAGCAAAGAACACCGTGATTATGCTTTTTGTCTTAGGGTGCCCTTCCTGCAAAGATGCCAAGGCACTTGAGCCTGACCTCTACTCTAGTTGGCAGCAAACATTTTATTTTCTCTGCTTACCTGGAAGGTATCTTGATTGCTTCAAGTAGTACTGTTTGGCTGTTGAGGCAGTTGACAGTTCAGAATCAGATTTTAGGGAAAAAGCAGCAGGTAAGCTCTTGTTTTCCCCTGCTGCCGAGTGGTTGGAGCCTGAGGGTACGGATTCTGGAAGCCTTAAAAGTCAACAGAAGGCGGCATTACAATGTGAAAAAATGTGAAGATGACAGCTACTGTTTTCTCACCCAACCCTGCTCATCTTTTCAAGGGCAGGGTCAGCTCACTTAAATGGTTTCCATCAGAGTCCTTTTGCTGATAGGGATGCTAAATGACAACTTCTCCCCCAACAGATATTGGGCCATCCACACAATCATTTTTAATACTAGACATTATGTGACAGAAAGCTTTATAACTGAGCAGCAAATTGCCTGTGTATAATGTTTCTAGCTTTCCGGCCACAGCTACAGTTGTGGATTTGTAAGAGTGGAGGGTGACACGGTGAAAGGGAAGATAATCATAGCCACGTTCACCTATGAAAGTAATGTCTGACCAGTAAGGTTGTCTGGGACCCCCTCAGAGACCGACACTGACTTGGTTGGCCCTTTGAACTTCTTGCCACCCCCACCTGCTCTGGGGTAGTCCTCGACACAGGTGGGACCCTTTCGTTAGAAAGAGCCCCACCCATTTCTGGCTTCTTTCCCTCTCCCTCAGCCCACTGTAGTCCTACCAACTGCCGAAATCCTACCGCTTTTCAAAATGGCTCATTCCAAAAAGACTTTGCTCTCCTCCTCAAAGTGATCTGCCCATAAGCAGAACTCTGAGCTCCTTAGAGCTCCTTTATTAGCAGAACCTAATACTCTCCGATCTTGTGTTATACTGACTTGAAGGTCTTATTTCCACTGCTGTACGTTTGATGGGATGAAGACAGACTACATCCTGTTCATACCTTTGCTTAATACCATCTAGGTATTTGGTAACTGTCTACCAGGCATGCATACAAGTATAAGTATAAATATCTTGCTTTTGTTTTGCTTGCTAAAAAAAAAAAGACCATCCAAGTGAAAGTTTTACACTTTAGTATTTGGTCTGTTGTATTCTTTATGAGGCAGCCTAGGCTGCCCGCAAAACTGAGCAGAGAATAGCAGAGTGCATTCAGTTCACCAAGTATTTGGGCTCCTATTGCTTAAGAAACAGTGTGGTACAGAAGAGAGGCAGAGATCTAGATGGTTTTGAATTAGGCCTCACCTGACTTGAGGCAACGTGTTTATCCAACCTATCTGACTCTCAGTATTCTGTGTTACGCTATTTTTACTGAAGTATGAAGATTATAAATTAAAATTTAGGTAGGTGCTTAATATATGGGAGTATATTAATAATAATAATTATTATATGTCTACATTGTATAAAGCCATTTAAAGATACTAAAAAATAAAAATGGAAGAAATAAACATTAAGAATTCATTGTCATACAGTTTTTCTAAAGAATTTCAGGAGAAAAGGAATAAATGATATTAAAGACATTTACCAGTTGTTCCCTTGCCAGAATTTAAGTATATGGACTACAAACTTGATTTTAACTATAGACTTTGATTTAAATCTCTTCCACCTAAAAACACATGATAAAATTCAGCTGGAATTAGGATGAAATGGGTTTAAAAAAAAAGTTTTCAAGTCATCTACATAGTACACCAATGCAGATACGAAGAATTATTTTTTTAAAAAGCAACTACATAGCTCTCTACATATCTTTAAGTTAACATCTATAATTTTTTATCATAAATTAAATCATTTTATTTCTTGTTTCTTAATAGTAGATAGAAAACAGTAAATAATTGATAAGATGAAATATGAGGATTAACAATAATTGGAGTATTTCATGGTATGACTTGATAAAGTTTTAACCACTTTATTCCATAAACACTGAATCTTCAAAAAATTATGTACAACATATATCCATAGGTTTTGAAAAAAAATCACAGTTTCACAGAACATTCTAGTACATTTAAAAGAATAAGCATCATTAGGCTCTGGTGCTTTAGTGGTTCGGAATCCCTGTGCTTTCCAGCACAGGCTAAAATACCCTATTTCTAATGTGGGTTTTTTTTTTTTTTTTTCCCCTAAGAGAAATATGTATAGGACAGCAAAGCCTTCTGAGCTGAAGGTGGCAGTCTTCTGACTTCTCCCTTTGTTTGGCATCTCAAAAGTTGTTAGGGCTTTATGCCACTCCAGATTTGAAAATGCTGAGAGTGTGACTTTCTGGCATAAAGTGGGAGGGGGATTAAGCATGTTTATTCTCAAGTTCGTGTACTTTAGGGAAGAGTACCTATGGAACTTGAGCATCTGGAAACCTATTGACTAAGAATTATTCAAGCCTAAGTCCTCCTAACAGAATCTTCCATGTACCTTCAGAGACATGTGTGTCCCAAAGTAAATGCCAGACAGCTATTAGATAAAATTCCCTGCCTCCTGCCAATATTTTTCTCCCTCTTCTTTTGTTCCAAAGAGAAAAAAGGAAGACAATATTTTTGCAAGCTTTTGTTCATAAGATTTAACCCACCCTCACTTCAAAGTTGAATAGTGCACTAATGATGACTTAACTTATGAAAGAAAAGGGACTGCTGGAGATACGAAACTTCCAGAAAAAGTTTAGGAAATGATCAAAAAAGTTTAGAATAGCAAACAAATTAGTGAATCTGAACACCATCAGAGGAAACCATTACCTCTGTAGATTGTGCTTTGCTTTTCTTCAAATAGGCATGTGGATTTCAAATGGGAATGATGGTGATCATAATTCAGTAGGGCACACTGAAAACTTCACAAGAACCCCCCCCCCCACACACACAACACTCAGCCATTAATACTAAGAATCATTACTGCGAGAAGTCAAGAACCTTACCTTCCCAGAGGTATGCGTAGAGATCTGGGGTGTGTGGAAGAAAACAATAGTAAGCTACTTATTGTCTTTTAACACCTTCAGTCATTTATGTATAATGAGTAATATAAAGTTCATGCATGATAAAAATATATTTTCCTGGAATGTGAAATCTTACCGAAATGGAGAATCTTTTTTCCTCTTTTCTTTGAATACACTCATGCTTGGCTTCTTGGAATGGGAGGCTCCAAGATCACAGTCCTCAAACTCTTCCGAGCTATCTCCAGACTTGAACACAGTCTGACCCCAACGCCTCCTTGAACTTTTATGACCCAGTGTGCCGTTTGGCTTCTGTGGTGGAAGATCAGTTGTCATCATCATCTTAATCGTTTGCTGAATGCCTTTTATGCACAAGCTATTCTGTTGGATACTAACAGTCCCCATTCTCAAGGAGCCTTCCATATAGTTAAGAAGATACATATACACACATTGAAAAGTACTAACAAAAACAGGTAGCACATGTTAAAAATATGATAGGAGTTCAGAGGAAGGAAAGATCTCTGGATTTGGGTTGGGGTGAGGATCAGAACTGACACCTCACTGATATATAATTTGGAAAACTGTCATGTGTGACTGTGTCTCTTTGGGCAAGTGAATTAACTTCTCAAAGCCTTGGTTTCCTCTTCCTTAAATGGAGATAAGCAGTATTTCTCTAATTAGTGTTTCTGAATTTAATAGTAAAATACCTTGAAAGTCCTTGGGATAAGGCCTAACACGTAACAGGAGTTACTAAGGTTAGGTGGTACAGTTGTTACTACTATTATTGTTGTTGTTCCAGAGTTTGGAAGAGGAAATATACAGAGTATGACTTTTAATAGAAAAGAGCCTGGATGGCTCAGTCAGTTAATGTCTGACTCTCAGCTCAGCTCAGGTCTTGATCTCAGGGTTGTGAGTTCGAGCCTCATGTTGGGCTCCACACTGGGCATGGAGCCTACTTAAAAAAAAAAAAAAAAAGAAAGAAAAGAGAAAAAAAGAAGAGTGCCAGAGTTTGTTCCAGCAAGAAAGGGTAGACCTAGCTTATCAAAGCAGATGGTTGGTACTAGAAGTAGTGGAGGACAGGGTTGCAAAGACAGACTGGTGCCGGAGTTTGAAGGCCTTCAGTGTCTGTCTAACGAGTTGCAGCTCTCCCGTGGGCAGTGAAGAACATCGGATGTCTTTGAGCTAAAAAGTGGGAAGATAAAGGTAGCATTCTAGAAGGCCAGGCTCTTCATATAGGAGGCCTTTGCAGTTATACTGAAATGCCCACGAAAAAATACATTTGCTCTTAACAAGGAATAGAAGGCCTGGACTTCGCATCTCCCTGAACAGAGGTCAGAGGACAGTGTGGCACACACTGCGAGGTGTCCACTCAGTAGCCATTCTTCCTGTCTTCCTTACTAATAGACTTGGTGCCGTGCAGCAATATGCCTACTTAAAACACCTGAAATCTCAGCCTCCTTCACAGCTGTATGGAGCCGTGTGACACGATCTAGCCAATGAGTTGTCGGTGTAAGTTTACTGGAGGGACTTCCAGGAGAGCTATTTTTGGGCTCCCCTGGCATGCCAGTGGCTTTCACTCTTTCCTCTTCTAGAACGCAGAAGCCACCCCAGAGGCGTGGCAGCCATCTTGTGGCCACAGGAATGAAAGTCGCCCGCTAAGCATGGCAGGACAGGAAGACAGAAGCAGTCTGGTTCCTTCTACAATCTGTACCAGCCCTGGTTTGGCCCACCACCTGACTTCTTGTTACGTCAGAAAATAACCTGTTATTGTTTGAACCTCAGTGGTCAGGTCTCCGTCATAAGTCACAGAATGTAATCCTAATGGATGCAGACAAGGAAGGGCAGGGATGACTTTGAAAGTTTCAGCCTGCTTGTGTCAGGACGGTGGCTCTGTTGATAAAAATAAGGAATGAGGAAGAAGACCTGGCCTGGACCAGACCGAGGTTTTATTCAAATTGATCTGGGGCGGTTTGGGGGTACATAAACTAAAAAATCCAAAGGCAATTGAAAACCAGGGAATTTGGAAGCAAACGCAGCTATGTTTGGGGCAAGAAGATGTTTAAAGAATGGATATACTATTGCTTGGAGCCCGTGGGGCCTTCGTGGCAGCTGATGGCAGAAATGGTGTTTGCCAACCTCTGTCAGACTGCTGTTTTCTTCGCCAGGGACAAATAACTCTAGACCAAGGAGAATAAAACAATCTAAGATCCCAGATAAGTAGAGCTAACCAAGGGTTATATTTAGCTGAGTTTCAGCTGAATTTTTTTTTTAGGGTGCTGATGCTCTATGCTGCTGAGCAATGTCAGTAATATCAAGTAGTCTTCTATGTCTGAGAAGATGGGAAAAGGGCAAATATAAATAACGTGTATAAAGTAGAAGGTGGATTTTTGCAAACTCCACTTTAATACGTTTGGTATAGGATGAAGGCAAAGATTCTAGAATCAGTTATTAAAGGGAAAGTTTGAGCACCGAGGGAAAAAATGTGGGTAGATCGTATAGGCTACCATTTTTTATAAAAACAAACAATGAATACATGTGGTCTCTGTGGCCTTCAACAAAGTAGGGGGCAGAGTCTTTGATGCTATCAGTGAAGTGAAGTGATGAAAGGACAATAAACGTGGGTCCATACTGTTATGGACTCAATGTTTATTTCCCCCCAAAATTTATATGTTGAAATTTGTACGCCCCCTCCTCCCAAATTTATACCCTGTGTCTAATGTGATGGTATTTGGACAAGGGGCCTTTGGGAGGTAACTAGAGATTAGACGAGGTCATGAGGATGAGACCCTCATGATGGGCTTAGTGCCCTCATGAAAGAGACTCCAAAGAGCTTGCTTTCTCTCTCTGCCATGTGAGGACAAAGCGAGGAGGCACTTTCTACAAACCAGGAAGAAGGCCCTCACTAGGAATCAAATTGGCTAACACTCTGATCTTGGACTCCCCAGCATCTAGGGGATGTATAAATTTCTGGCTTAAAGCCACCCAGTCCCTGGTATTTTGTTATAGCAGCCCGAGCAGATGAAGTACATCGTTCAATAGTCTGACCAAGAGTACTCTCAGTGGATCAGTGTCATTCTACAAGAAGGTCCTAGTGGCCTGCCCAAGGGCTCATTGCCATTCTGTTCATCATGAAGGTACAGGAGAAAAAAAGCAAATGAACAGCTAAACCAATGCATAGTTAGTGACATGCTAGGCAGAATGGTTAAACTGACAAGACAAAAATAATTTAGAAACTGGAGAGGTAAAAGTAAGGTCTTGCAACTTTTTGAATCCTAGGGATCAAATGCACAAGAAAGAAGTAAAGAATATGTGATTTAGCAAAAGCACTTGTAAAAAATAGACTTAGGAATTTTAGTTGACAGAATGTTTAATCCCATCTCTGGAACCTATTAGCTATCTAAAAATTTAGCGCTAGGATACTGGGTACTTTAACTTAGTGAATGCATACAAGGCCTTAGCGTAGTACATGGCACTTAGTAGATACTCAATAAATATTCATTTCTTTTCTTTCCTCTCAGTATGAGTCAACATTTGATGTGCCTTCCAAGAAAAAAACAAAAAAACAAAAATGTAATCTTTGGTGACATGAGAACACATATGGTTCTGGAATGTTGGAGGTGACTCACCATGGTTTATACTCCCTGCCCGTGGTTTGCCTCTAGTTCTGGCAGCCTCATTCTAAATGGGAAGCAGGGGACTCAAGGCTCCTTCCTACACAGGAACCAAGGATTACTCAGTCATTGGTGAATGATGTCATGTGTGGAGTGCGAGGGAACTGGGGGTGTTCCTCCTAGAGAAGAGGACAGGTAATACAAGGGCTATTTTCAAATATCTGAATGGCTGCCTTTCTTGAAGAGTGATTAACTTTTATTAAAAGCTACAGAAGGAGTGCTTGGGTGGCTCAGTGGGTAAAGTGTCTGCCTTCAGCTCAGGTCATGATCTCAGGGTTCTGGGATCGAGCCCCGCATTGGGCTCCCTGCTCAGTGGGGAGTCTGCTTCTCCCTCTTCCTCTCCCTCATGCTTGCATGTTCTCTCTCTCAAATAAGTAAATAAAATCTTAAAAAAAAAAGCTACAGAAAACCAGATTTTAGCTCAGTATAAGAAAGAACTTGTGAATAGTCAGAAATGTCCCAAAGAGGGGACACCTGGGTGGTGCAGTTGGTTAAGTGTCCAGCTTCTCAGTATGGGTTCAGGTAATGATCTCTCAGTTGTGGGATTGAGCCTGTGTTGGGCTCCACACTCAGCGTGGAATCTACCCGAGATTCTCTCTCCCTCTGCCCTTCCTGCTCATGTGCTCTCTCTCTCTCAAATAAATAAGTCTTATAAAAAAATAAAGAAATGCCCCTAGATGATATAGACTCCTAGATATAGTATGAACTATTAATTCATTTGTTCAACAGATAAACTGAGAATTCAACCATGTGCCAGGCACCATTCTGGGTTCAGGGCCTGTACTGATAAACAGACAAACATCCCTGACCTCACGGAGCCTACATTCTATAGGAAGAGCCAGATAATAAACAATACACATAAGAACCAGGTAATTAATAGTATGGTATGATAGGATTAGTGCTATTGGGAGCAGGGCTTGCTTATATAAGGATGGCAGGAATGGATAAGGAATTAGACAGTATTCGTTGAGATCTCTCAGTCCTTAAAATGCCCACAATGCAAATGCATTTGGGAGTATACATCTTGAGGAGACAGCTAATATGGCCCCTGACAAGCTCCCCGAACTGAACAAATGTAGGAAGAGAAAGTCTTAGACTATGCCCGATACTTAAAAAACCCATTCTGTTCATGTTCATTAGTATTTAAAAACAGTATTAAATTACTGTTAAAATCCTTAAGATTTAGGATCAGCTCTCTTGAGTCCCAGATTCTATTAAATTCTTTGAGTTCTTTTGCATTTAAGTAACTGTTAAAGAAAGTATGTAGCGTCCAAACTTTATTGCATTCATTTTGGCTGTTTTTCTTTTTATAACCCATATTAAAATTTTAGGTTATCTCTTGCTAAGCTCCTGCCAAAGGAAGCAGGGACTGTAACATAAATAATCTTTTATGTCTTCCCCCACATTTTTAGGAACGCTTAGAGAATAAAATCCGAACTGAGCCAAACTATTGCATCTAAAGTGCCGTTATGGGCTACTTACGGTTGGCATGTTTCTGACGATACTTGGAAACAGTGTTTGTGGCTCTTTCTGTTGACCCAGCTGCTTTGGCGCTGGCTGGACACTCGTGTTCTGTGGAGGCTGGATGGACTGCAGTGGCTGGTGGCGGTTTTTCGACTGGGGCTGTCTGACCGTCTGATTGTTTATGTCCAGCAGAGGCTTAGATTCTAGATCCCCTAAAGATGGCTTTGATTCTAGTGGTTGCACCTGCTTATTTAAAGATTGTTTCGATTCCAGATGATGTGAGGAAGGGCCTAATACTTGACCAACTTGAAAATACGGGTGTTTCAATGCCTACAAAAGCATGGAAATAAGAAATGCTTATTAAAATGGTTGCGCCTAAATTTATTGCACATAAACGACTGACTAGCAGTGGGCTCAGCATACAGCACTAGCCTAGATCAGCTTCAAAGACTTAGAAAGCGTCCAGTTTTCCCCTTATGTCGTACCTTCAAAAAGGTAACCAGGAAATAATGATTTAGGACATAAATTGCTTTTAAAAAATAGGTGCAACATAGTAGGAAGAATGTAAAACTCATGTGTAATGTCCAGGCAAAGCAACTGTTGTATTTAAAGATTCTGTATGAAAACAAAACCTAGCTTATAAACATTGGCTAAATTTGATGTGATTAATTCAAACTAAAATGCTAGGTACTGATCATGGTTTAGAGTCCATCCATTAGGAAATGAGTTAAGAAAACCTTCTATGGAGTTCATTTTAAATGATTAACTTGAACATTATATAAAATTCAGGACTACTCTTAGCCCAAGGATAGCTACATACCTATTAGCAGTAAAAAGAATTCTAAGAAAGGAGATTACAAATATATATGTGTTAGAGCTTGTTATAGCAATATACCAGCAAAGAGAAGATATTTATGGGAAGAAAATATAAAAATAATAAAAAATGATCACTGATCATTTTTATCATTATCACTGGTTAACTATATCAGTTAACTATATCAGTTAACTATAACTGGTTAACTAGTTAACTTGGTTAACTATATCAACTATATCAGTTGCTGCTGCGTGGAGGTGGGGGGGTAGAGGGGAGGGCCCTGAAGACTGACGGATGACACAGTCTACAGTAGTGGTTCTCCACTGGGAGCATTCTGTCCCCTCTGGAGACATCATTTTTATTGTCACAACCTGGGGGTGGGAGGTGTGACTGGCATCTAGGCACGTTGCCAGGGATGCTGCTAAACATCCTACAATAACAGGATGGTCTTCACACAAAGAATGATCGATCTGATCCAAATGTCACAAGTGTCAAGGTTGATGAAAATTGGTCTAGAGAATGCCTGAAGCCTTCTGTGCAACTCAGCTGTGGATGCTGATCCCTTTACCAGTAATCATATGTGTGGATTACGGAGGAAAGTTCCTAGTTCTGCGGTTTGTATGTATGGCGGGGGAAGGTTGGGAGGGCACCTTAAGGTAGCCAAGCCCTATTACCCTGCACATCCTGCCCTAAGCCAGTACCCACTGATGTGTGAGCACAGCTCTGACCCACAGTTAACTTCTCAGGTACGCAAGGGCAGTTTTTGGAGGGACAGAAGTAGCTCTGTACATGGCTCCTGTATCCTATAAATTCACCTCTCCCTAACTCGGTCTCCCAGCTTCCACTAAAAAGCAGGACGATGAAATAGGGGACAAGAAAGAGGTTAAGGGCAGGGAGGTATATTTCAACAGAGGTAGAAAGAATCTTTATTCTGAGATGTCCCCTACCACAACCGACGTATGTGTTAATTACACTGACATTGCTAAGTGGAGCTCTACAAATACAGGCAATTTAAATACATCTCTACCTGACGCACAGAAAGCACTCAACTTCTTAATTAAGTCCTATTAATTAGTATGTCAATACTCCTAAATTAAAAATATACTATATTTTGGAGGTAGAACCTTTATAAATGTGATTTGCAATTTCAAGGCTTCATCTGTAACAATTCTTCCTTTTTAAGATATCAGTTACCATCCTTCAAGAAGAGGTGAGTCTTTAAGAAGAAATTTGCTTTTGGGCGCCTGAGTGGCTCAGTTGGTTAAGCAACTGCCTTCGGCTCGGGTCATGATCCTGGAGTCCCGGGATCGAGTCCTGCATCGGGCTCCTTGCTCAGCGGGGAGTCTGCTTCTCCCTCTGACCCTCCCCCCTCTCATGCTCTCTCTCTCTCTCATTCTCTCGCTCTCTCAGATAAATAAATAAAATCTTAAAAAAAAAAAGAACAAGAAAGAATTTGCTTTTTCGTGTTTATTCGGGGAATATTTGATCATTGCATAGAATAAGGATGTATGGAAAGTTCTCAGGAAGAAATTAAAATAATCCCCAGTGCCAACACCAGGAGAAAACTATTGCTCACATTTTGATGTTTTGCTTTTTTGTACTTCTTTCTAGTCATGTAATATATATATACATATTTAAATAAAATCATATTGTGTGTATAATATTCTAGCCTACTTTTAAACTTAGCACTTGGGCTTGAGAATTCTCCAAAATGGTTACTTTATTTTAAAAATTCCATTTTTAATGCGGGCAAAGTAGTCTATATTAAGGATTATATACTTTAAATGTTCCCTAGAACATTAGGTTTATACCTCCAATGGGCAGTTTTTAATTAGCTTTGAACATCTGTGGGCATAAATCTTTATCCAACTTTATGAATGTTTTCAACGTTCTTGATATACTACATTGCAAAACTATTTTCCATTACTTAGAGAAATAGCTTTTCAGCTGTTTTTTGTTGGTTTGTTGTTGTTGTTGTTGTTTTTGCAGTTACCGTAATGAACAATGGCTGCACATTAAAAAAATATTTTTTGGTAATTTTAATTTCTTTTTCTGATTTTTTTAAATGTCTCATGCCACCTTTCTTCTTTATGTAAGACTTTTATTATATTTTTATTACAAAAGTTAACAAATACTTAGAAACATTAGAAAATATACTGTCTCATTTGTTAAAAAGAATTCTTGCTGTTTGTCTTCCAACCTTAAGATTTTTATAAGAGAAGGGGCGCCTGGGTGGCTCAGTCATTAAGCATCTGCCTTCGGCTCAGGTCATGATCCCGGGGTCCTGGGATCGAGCCCCACATCAGGCTCCCTGCTCAGCGGGAAGCATGCTTCTCCCTCTCCCACTCCCTCTGCTTGTGTTTCCTCTCTTGCTGTGTCTCTCTGTTAAATAAATAATAAATAAAATCTTTAAAAAAAGATTTTTATAAGAGAAAAAAATTTAATTTTTTGTGATCAAATCTGAGTTTTCCCTACAGAGAACAAACTGATGGTTACCAGAGGTGAGATAGGTGGGGATATGGGGGAAATAGGTGATGGGGCCTGAGGAGTGCACTTATCATGATGAAAAAAAAAAAAATCTGAGTTTTCCCTTTGTGGTTTCTTCTGTTACTTTTATACTCATCTATTTCTTTTTTTTAAATTTTTTATTGTTATGTTAATCACCATACATTACATCATTAGTTCTTGATGTAGTGTTCCATGATTCATTGTTTGTGCAGCACACCCAGTGCTCCACGCAGAATGTGCCCTCTTTAATACCCATCACCAGGCTAACCCATCCCCCCACCCCCCTCCCCTCTAGAACCCTCAGTTTGTTTTTCAGAGTCCATCATCTCTCATGGTTCGTCTCCCCCTCCGACTTACTCCCCTTCATTCTTCCCCTCCTGCTATCTTCTTCTTTTTCTTTTTTCTTAACAAATGTTGCATTGTTTCAGAAGTACAGATCTGTGATTCAACAGTCTTGCACAATTCACAGCGCTCACCATAGCACATACACTACACAATGTCTATCACCCAGCCACCCCATCCCTCGCATCCCAGCCCCACTCCAGCAACCCTCAGTTTGTTTCCTGAGATTAAGAATTCCTCATATCAGTGAGGTCACATGGTACATGTCTTTCTCTGATTGACTTATTTCACTCAGCAGAACACCCTTATACTCATCTATTTCTTAGCTTGAGATTACTCACCTGTACTTTTCTTTAGTTCTCAATAGTTTAGTTCATCCTTCTTATTTTTTAAACCTTCTGTGATTTACTTGAAAAGTATGGTAAGAAATAACCTAAATTTACTTTTTTCCTGAGAATTAACTAATTGTGCCAGTGACAGTCCCCTCCCCCCAATTTGTGATCCCATGTTTACCTGCGGCTAACTTACAGCTCCTGCAAGTTGGGTTCTCTGTTGACTCTTATTTTTTTAAACATTTTATTTATTTATTTATTTATTTATTTATTTATTATTTATTTATTATTTATTATTTATTTATTTATTTATTTATTATTTATTTGACAGAGAGAGAGAGACACAGCGAGAGAGGGAACACAAGGGAGAAGCAGGCTTCCCGCCAAGTAGGAAGCCCGATGCGGGGCTCAATCCCAGGACCCTGGGATCATGACCTGAGTCTCTGCAGATGTCTAAGGGCTGGTCACAAAGCAGCTGAGCGAGGGTGCCACCTGCTGGATTCTTGTGGGAGCTGGAGAGTGAACAATACTCCAGTTCTGTGGAGGCGTGATGCCATTGCGTAGAGTGAACAAGAACCCACCTCTAAACCATAGGAAGGCATAGAAAGTCTCCTATGTTGCACAACTGAAGAGATGCCCTTTTACTACAAGTGACAAGTTTCGTCCTAATTAGCTGTCACATGCCTGAATTTTTATCATTAAAGAAATTAATTCCTTGCAGCCTCAACCTCATTTGAACCACGAGACACAGAAAATCATTGGAGTGGCGGTTTTCTCAATCCTCCCAGGGATGTTATAGACCTAGAAATGAATTCATTACATATTTTTTTTTAAAGATTTTATTTATTTATTTGACAGAGAGAGTGAGAGAGTACAAGCAGGGAGGAGTAGTAGAGGGAGAGAGAGAAGCAGGCTTCCCGCTGAGTAGGGAGCCTGACGCGGGGCTCGATCCCAAGACCCTGACATCATGACCTGAGCCGAAGGCAGACGCTTAACCATCTGAGCCACCCAGGGGCCCCGAATTCATTACATATTGGATGACTCACGCTTTGAGGCTTACTTACAGGTTGGTAAAACCCTGGTTGAGAACAGACTTGCTTTGTAAACGAAAATATTCCTAGAGTATTGTAAAATCTCAAAAGAAAAAAAAAAAGAAAGAAAAAGAAAAAAGAGAAAACCACTCTACCAGGGGGATTCATCTTACCTGACTTGCTGTTGGTCGCTTCTTTGGATCCCAATTCAACATTTCAGTCATAAGCTGAATAGCTTCATTACTGGCATTGGGAATAAGGGTTTTTAAGTTTATAGGAACACACTGGGGAAAACGGAAGTTCATAGAGGATGCAAGCTGGTACCCTTCTGGCCAGTCACTCTGTTTAAGGAATATATAAGTGGGTGGGACGGGAGAGCAAGAAGAAAATGTAATCAATTTAGTAATCAATTTTAAAACATGGGTATAATATAAAAGTCACTGATGGTGAAAATTTTAGTGTTGATTCATATAAGCAGAATGAAATACCAGACCACATATTACAACTCAGTGCTATAAATAGCATAGAAAGAATATTAAACTCTTGTCCGTTTTTTGGATCTTGATGATGATACCCAGCTGACTTTGAATAAATAAGCACAAATGGTGTATACAAAGCAGCTGATCATTACAAAGACCCTCATTGTGTTAGACATTGCATCCACTGTTAAAAACTGCACATAGCTAGGAAATAACAAATTACATGAAGCTTTAATAACTATGCTTACTTGTCTAATTTTAACTACAAGGCACATACTAACATAATTAGGATGTAATTATACGTACTTATTAAGTACATATCAGAAAGTAAGATCTGGCTGGTAGTTAATTGAGAAGTACTCAGTTCAAGGAATCAAATATCCATGGCAGAGGTATGTAAAAGGAAACAGGAAAGGTTAAGAGGAAATGGCCCAGGACACATAGGATTCAAGAGTTGATGCCAATGAACATTCCCAGAGCAAGTGGGAAAGAGTCTAAGCAAGGATTGCTATGAGGTCATCAGCCAGTCATCAACCCAAAGTTAAATATACACAATTCTAAATATAGAGAATGTTCCCTTAAGTTCTTAAAGGCAAGAACCCTTTTTTCTTCAGTCTTGCGGGGATTCTGGCTTCTCATCCCACCCAATTAAAAAAAAAAAGGATAAGAAAAATAACCATTAAAGCGTAAGCCTATTTGAAAACAAAAATATCGGATAGATAGGTAAAAGTTATAAATAATCAAAACTTATAACAACTTAAGGACAAGAATACTCACTTTTTTGGGAGTCCCTAAAACTTGGCAAATCTTAAAGATTTCATCAACCTCACTTGTCCCTGGGAAAAGTGGTCTTAATGTATATAGTTCAGCCATTATGCTCCCAACAGCCCACACATCAATGGGAGAGCTATAAACTGAAGATCTTAATAAAACTTCAGGGGCACGATACCTATGAAAATAGAAACAAAACAAAACAAAACAGGCCATTTTGGTTGGAGTTGGAAAGATGGAGAGGCAGTGGGGTTTGGTCATACATTTCAATCAAGGAACCAGTATTAAGTGCCTTCTGTGTGTCCCACATTTGCACAGCGTGCTGGGGGCTCAATCGGATGTAACACATTTTCCCTGACCACAAGTGGTTGGTGGAGTTGGAGACAAATATAAATGAAATGTCCAAGTGGCCTAAGTAAGGAACTCAAATGAATAAATATGGAAATAAGTACTATAAGACAGGGTTGGGGGGGGTTCTGAACAGAAGCAGAGAGATTCTGAATGAGAACAGTTGTAAAATTTTACAAAGCATTATATCCATGATATATTTATATGAAGGATAGAAAACAAAAGATTAACAAACTATCCCTAAGTAGTGGGGTTTTCTTCTTTTTATTTATCAGACTGAAAGTGCTGATTCCTTCAGTGGACTCAGTTCCCCCAACTGACAATATCTTTAATGGAGAAAAATACCCTATTTATTTATTTTAAAGATTTTATTTATTTGACAGAGAGAGTGAGAGGGAACACAAGCAGGGGGAGTGGGAGAGGGAGAAGCAGGCTTCCCGCGGAGCAGGGAGCCCGATGCGGGGCTCGATCCCAGGACCCTGGGATCATGACCTGAGCCAAAGGCAGCCGCTTAACGACTGAGCCACCCAGGCGCCCCCAAAATACCCTATTTATGAGAGCAAAGGTACCTGGTGGAAAATATTCTCAATTCTAACTTTTTTTTTCACATTGAAATGTGTAGATTTATCAGCCCAAATATTTCACAGTATTGTCTTTTTGCTTCTGAGTACCTTTCTTTGACAAGTTTATTGAGATATAATTCAAATAACATACAACTCATCCATTTAAAAGTGTATGACTCAGGGGCTTTAAATATATTCGTGGAGTGTGTAATCCATTATCACAATCAATTTTGAACATTTTCATTGCCCCCAAAAGACACCTCACACCTCTCCAATATCCCTGTATCCCCAGTGCTAGTCTACTTTCTGTCCCTAGAGATTTGCCTATTGTGTGTACTTCATACCAGTGGAACCATATTCTGTCCAGTCCTTGTGGACTGGCTTCTTTCACTTAACATGTTTTCTAGGTTCATCCAAGTTGTAGCACCTATCAGTACTTCATTCTTTTTACTGCGAAATAATATTCCATTTTATGGCTATAGCACACTTTAGTTATCCATTCATCAGTGGATGGGCATTTGGCTTGTTTCCAATTTTTGGCTATTGTAAGTAATGCTGTTCTGAACATTCATGTATAAGTTTTTGTGTGGATGTGTGCTTTCCTTTCTCTGGGGCGCATATACCAAGGTATGGAATTCCAGATCCCATGGTAACTATATGTTTAACCAGAGGAACTGTTGACTCTTTTGTGCCATTTTACATTCACCCCAGAGATGTATGATGGATCCAGTTTCTCTGCGTCCTTGCCAATACTTGTTACTATGTTTTGATATTTTTATGAGATAAAATTAATAGTTTCGAATGTCTTGCCAAGTTTAGATGTTGAAAACAAGTCTTCTTAATTGCATTCCATTTCAGTATAGCATCTAAATTTACCCAGTTGAAAATAGATACTCAACCAAAAACAGAACTGTGCTTCTTCCCCCCAAAAGCTCCCCAGTATTCCCCATCTCAGTGCTGACACCATCCTTCCAGTTCCTCAAGAAACAAAACAAAACAAAAAACAAAACCCCCCTTAGAATCTTTGACTCCTTTATCTTATACCCCACATCTGATTCATCAGGAAATCATGGTTGCTCTACTTTAAAAATACCACCTCCACGGCCGCCAGATCCAAGTCACTGTCATTTCCTGCCAGAATTATTGTGTAACAGTCTCCTACCTGGTCTCCCTGCTTCTTCCCTTGCTTTTCTAAAACCTATTTTTAACATAGCAGTGAGAGTGATACTTTTAAGATCTGGCAGATCACATTGCACCTCTAATCAACATCCTCTAGGGGCTCCCCAGTTCACACTCAGTCCTTACAAGTACCTATAAGGGG